TCGACAAAAAATGTCAATTATGCCATTTAAAATTATGCCAATGGGGCAAAATTTCAACTTTTTATTCAGAATTTTCAGAAAATTTTTTGGTATGTAGTTTTATAGCCCATGCAATTTTAGTCAAATCTAGTCTTTGGTGTAAATTTTAAACGGCTAAAAAATCGCGTTGATTTTTGAGATTTTTTTTTGGTGACGGATTTTTGCACTTTTTTTCAAATAATTCTTATGAAATAAAATGCGGGAGACCGTCAGCAACAAAATTTCAAAATATCAACGTAAGTTTCTGTAAATTGCGCTTGTTATATTAAAAAACTAAAAAAAAACACGTAGTCATTTGTTTGAATCACTGTATCTTAGAACATGCATTATTTTTAGTTTTATATAAAGAAAACGATTCCATCGCGAAATTGTATTTTAATGAGTGAAAAGTAAGAAAAAAATCGTAAAATTTCAAAAATTACAAAATAGCTGCGACGTATATTCTGCATGCTGCCATTTTTTGTTTTTATTTAGTGGCACACCCTTGAAACTTCACAGATTGGTGGTATATGATGCCAACATCCATTGTCTCTAATATGAACATTATATTTGAAAACTTCCCAAAATTATAAAAAAAAATTATGATTTATTTGAGTGACAATGAAAAAATATACTTTTTCGCTTAAATAAACATTTTAGGGCAAAAATTGGTTAAATACTTGATTTAGTTTTTATTGTACTTGTTTCTGGAACTCCATTGATCGAAATAAATCAAGAAGAATGCTTTAGCGTTTTTTCTGTCGGAAGAAGGGAGTGACGCTAAAAAAAAAAATCGTGAGATTTGCTCATATATGCGCAGGTAAAAAATATATATCTTAGTTCAACTTGATCAGCGTTGGTTGAGTAGCCGCGGTTCGTATACAAAAAAAAAAATAAAAAAATAAAATCAACGGTAAGTCCTAGCTACTTGAAACTTGCACTTAATTATACCTAAATTGAATGGTCTAAAAAGCCGCATACTCAAAATCATTCTAAGAAATCTAAATAAAAAGCTCGAAATTTTTACGAACATTTGATTTTTTTTAATAACGACTGAAATTTGATTTAAATGGTTTTTGTTAAAGAATAAATTATATTTTTTTTAAAAAATAATTAAAATTAAAATGTAATAAAATAAATAGTCAAAACCTGTCAATATGTGGGTGTCCTTTAGGTATGGTAAGCGCTACTCAAGTAGCACACTGATGTATAGCTTTGTGTAAATTTTCGAATTTCGGTATAAATCTGATTAAATGTAGAAAAATTCAAAAATTTACACCAAGTTTTACATCAGTGTGCTACTTGAGTATATACTCATATATCACCTTTTTGCAGAATTTTGATCACGGCGACCATTGAAAATGAATTCACATATGGTGGCCTAAAAATTCAATTATACTTTTTTTCTTAAAATGTAAAGAAGCTGCGGCGACTTTCGGTGGACTCAAAAAAATATTTTGTTTAGTCTTTGGTTATACAGATGGTAAAGTGATTCTGGTGGGTTTGTTTCATTCTATTTTACTTTATGAAGTATTATTTTTTTTTTCATTTCATTCTACCCCGCCTTTTTATGATTTAAGACGAAAAAATAATAATTGAAAACATGCCGACCCAAACACTGACACACGAACTGATGATTTTTTTAAATTTTTCCGCTTTTTTTCTTTAGTTAAATTTTACCCTTTGCAATTAATCCTTTACCACGCCCGTCACCCCAAATGAATTGCTGTGAACAGCTAATCCAGTTGCTGCTGCTACTTTTACCTTTATTATGGCAAACGTTGAGTCTTTGCTTGTTTTTTGTTATTACACAGATACGGACTTAGTTTATTTTGGTTGTGTTGGAATTCAGTTTGGTGTGACTGATTCAGCAATTTCATTTCCTCTCTTTGATATTCCGGTCTAGACGGGTGCACATAACTGAATGTTGGTAATAATACATACATACACACATAAATAGCTGGTTTGCAGTCGATGTGTTTTAATTTTGTGTATACATACATTTAACAATTTATTTTCGACCGGACTGCGAGCAGTCAGAAAAAAGGGAAACACCAAAGTAAGGTCTGCTACGTTGGCTGTTTGAGTAATGAATTAGAAAATTACTGAAGTTATAATTGAGTTGGCAAATAAGTTTGATGATCTTTGGCTTTCACAATTTTGTTTAGTGTTGTTTTACCAAAGAGCTACAGAAATTAAATGCACGTTTGTATAGTTATTTTTTTTTTTAATTACTTTGTAGAAAAAATTACGTATTTGGAGTTTTTGTTTGCACAAAAGCGTAGAGGCACGTAATTTTTGCATGCATACTAGGGTAGCCCTTAAAATATCAGCATTTAAATTATTTTGTTCTACGTAAAAAATAAAGACATCCACGAAAATTTCAAAACTACCAAAACAACAAAAACTGACTTCAACTCTCATATAAACATTTATTAGTACCGTTAATTTCTTTATGATCCAGTGATCGGATCTAAACCAAATTAGTATGGGACTACCTCTGAGATACTAATTTTCCGATGCAAAAAGAATTATCGAAATCGGTTGACGTGGTCCAAAGTTCTGCAGTAACATACATGAAAACAAATATTCCGACGAACTGATAACCTTCTACTTCTTTTTTGAAATTGGTTAAAACAAAATTTTTAAAAATATTTTTGATACAAAAATTCAACTCTTTCAAACCCTGGTACCTATAATTTTTTTTTTAATTTTGCAATTTTTGTGTATGTATTTATTTTGTACGTAGAACCACAATAATGGATACTATAAGTATTTGCATAGTCGTTTTGAAATGATAACCCTCTTACCAGCCGCCACCAACTATAAAAGACCAAGAGAACAGACAAAGAAGAAACGTACAGTAAACGACTTAGCTTACCTTGAGCTAAGCTGCCTAGGTTAAACTTTAGCCATTTTCAGATCCTAGCATGAAGCCTGTCCAAAAGTCTCAACATGAAGCTCAACAAGAGCGATACTCCATGGTGGAAACAGCCAAAGGCACTTAAATCGAGTTAAAAGACCGGGTGAATGAAAAATGCGCAAAAATGCCCTCACTGCATGCAATATAGTGCATGGACTTCAAGGACCCTTCAGCGAGTGCTTGACATCACAGGGTCTTTACTGAAATGCACTTGAAGGAAAAAGGTCTCCTAAGGACATGCTCTGGATCATTCACAAAAAACTGCAAGGAACTTGTTAACTTGCTGGCCGATTTTCCTTTCTTCGAGTGCTTACCATTGAGCAAATCTTGTACCATCCACTCGTGCAATGGGATCAAATG